AATGTCTCTGTGGGTTTTCTCCTCGTACTCTGGCTTCCTCCCACAATTCAAAGACATGCATACGATATCATTACAATAAAGATGACCAATATGTCTGTAATTGGTCCTATTAGTCCACTTACTCCCTAGTACCACTCCTACACGGTCTTGGAGCCAAAGACAGCTTAGAGTGGGGACCATATGAAAAGACCCCAGGCCTCTAATGGACTACTTTTGTGTTCACTTAATAGGATTCATGTTGAAGACAAGAAGGGCCCAGTTATGCTCATCACATTTCATTTTCTGCAATACTTTTTGTTTTACATTCACTGCACAAGCACACAAAACCACCCATAAGAGTCATTAGTCTAGCGACACCATCTGCACTACTGCATGCCCGAAGCTGAAAAGCACAGCAACACACTACTGATTCCAGTTTGCTGTAGTGCATGACAAATGGGCAGCACAGAGGCACCAACCATGATTTTCTGAGCTTCACTTGTGCAAACAAGTTATACATAAATACTTCATGGTTGGGCGTGTATAAGAATTGCACATAAAGGTTGGTTTGAAATTTAGATTTCAGCAAACTCACATTTGAATCCCACGGTGACCGCAAGAAATCACTCGTATAGTCGAATTTTGACACAAGGGTCCCACTTACTTAGTTTCATTAGCAATCCGCGTGAGCAGGAACACACTGGAGCATTTCATTATAGCTGTACCTACCCAGAATACTGTAAATAAATGCAAGTGTTCTTCTACAGTCTGCTTTTAATATGTTTTTATGATGTTGTATTTGACTGCATTGTATTCAGAGATGCTCACAAACACGAAATATAGTGAAGTGAACTGCAAAATCATGTTGAACAATTATAGAATTTACACATTAACAATATCACCAAACATAGATCATTATGAGCTTTGTAACAATCAGTGTGATGGCAGGGTTCCTGTATTGGATTGCTTTGTAAGGGAGTAGCTCATTAAAGATAGGGTTGGTCATTTGTTCCTGAAACACTTTTTATCTTCTTCGTTGAAATCCTTTTCCTGTTAATAAAGAAAGAACTGTTGTGTAATAAACACAACCCAACATATTATCACTAACCTGGTCACTCCCCATATGAAAAGATGAGGAAGTGACATCAGTACCTCTAAGGGTCAGAGCCCAGAGGTAGGTCTGTAGTAAACTAGCAAAGGTCTCCAGAGGACAGCCTCAACAGGCTTCATTTATGGGCAAAGGTAGAAGTCCAGCTCTCACCCAAATTCTATCAGCAGACAAAAACATCCATAATATATGTCCCTGCATAACTTTTTATATTCAATGTTATTTTTTAATCACACCACATCTGTACATGGTCACTATGGTACAGGGAAGTAGGAAATATGACAGAGTTCACCTATAGTAAGGTTTAGGCAACGCCACGGCACAAACTGCTTTTAAAATGGTTTGAAAATCAAATGCCCTGCTACCATAGAGGGCACACTATCTTAGCCACCCTTACTTTTATCATCCTTATACAATAGTCATTTAAGACCCGATACCCCATTAGTCTGGTGAAATACAAAACCAAGCCGTGAAATTTCATTTCCAAGCTGACATACATTTTATCAGATAAAACTTTTTTTTAAGAAAGCCATTTACTGAATGAATGAGCAGATAGCGCACATTTTTATATCAGGAGTGTGATAGAAGCTTATTATAATTCTAAGCTGATGTCATTAAATAGTCTGTCTAATATGGCAGATGATAACAAAAGAAATGGAAGCAGTTCTCCAGTCCTCTGCCCTGATTAAACATACTGTACCCTCTTTGGGAGAGATCAAGGCCTCTTAGTCTCTCCAATGAGCACCCAAACCTCTTCCGCTTCCATGTCCCATTTTTAGATAAAAGTAATTCCGCGGAGGCATATTGTTCATCTGGCATTCGAATGCAGGAACATACAGGGAATAAAGCAAAGTATGTATATAAAAGGCAGTTTCAAGGGATTTCACAACTTTGTTTGTATGGTTATATGTGTGTGTGTGTATGTTTGTGTGTGTGTGTGTGTGTGTGTGTGTGTGTGTGTAGTCTTATATCTCTATAGCCAGTCCTCAGTTTTTCAAAAGACGGTTAAAGGGTTAAGACTTACTTTTAGAGTTAGGATTAGAATTAGGTTTAGGTTAGGGTTAGGCATTTAGCTGTGATGGTTAAAGTGAGGGTAAGTAATGTCCTCTGAAGTCACAGAGACATGACTGTGTGTGTGTGTCATATGCTTTCATGGAGTCTGGAAGTTTTTATTTTTTCTTCTTTGTCTAACGTTGGTGTGTTTTCCCTTTGCAGACGTACGAGGCAGACTGTAGGCCAACATGTGAACAGATGTTTTCAGACAGGAAGTAACAACAACCGCCCTTCCCCCGTCAGCACTTTGCAATTTGGACTTTATCACTTCCCCTTTCACCAAACAACATCTAAAGCACTCTTATCAAGATCCACTGACATATTATCTTTGCACACAGATGCACAAATCAATTCACGCAATGATGATGCACAGATGAGGGTAAGCAACAAACTGAATGTCTACAAGACATGTGATTTCAGATAATTGTGACGACTGTGGGCAGGTGATTCAATGCTTAGTTCAGTGACACACTATAACTATAACAGCACATTTATTGGTAATATGCACAGTCACTCTCTGTATGCTGTCATTGTATGGAGAACCAACCACAGGAGTAGTGAAACAGTGAGGAAATTAACAGAGAAAATGGAAATATTTTTTCAAAATAATCAAATAAAACAAGCCTAATCTTTTGTGCCCAGATGGTGGGAGCACCGTCTTGGCTGCATGTGTGTATTGATTTTGTTGGTTCTCTCATCTGGTATGTTGACAAGAGGCAAATACATACAGTGAACCTAAATGGCTGCTATTTAATTTGGTTTCAGTGATTCAGCAGTCTGCTGTTTACCTGAGGGGAAAGGATACTGCAGCTTCGGTTTATCGGACCACTGGGCTGGAGCTGCACACATGCATTTGCAGAACAGAATTTGTCTCTTTTAATCAACTAGTGCAGGGCCTTTTCAAAATGTGCCTGTCGGTGGGGGCTGATTGCTTGAGCCTGTGTAAATCTATATCGTAGATTTCTAGAGGGCATCATCAGAACAGCGACTCACTCGACAGTCAGCTTCCTTGGGTCCTTAGCAATACACCTGCTACGTTTAAAGTCAAACGGATGATTGGTTTTGAAGAAAATCTAATTACAGGGACAAAGACAATGACATTAAAGAGCTTCTGGAGATAAGGCCCAACACTATTGCTTTGAAATAACCCACATCATTTCAATAGTGGAATCTATATGTCCAGACCCAATTTTCTAAACAGTTTCCAGAGTTCATGTTGAAAAAGGCTTGAGACAATGTGTCCATCTGGTTGCTTGCCACAGCTAGCACCAACAGCTAACAGCTACAGTTACCAACAGACTAAGCATGTGTGCAGAGCTCATACACATCCCTCACACAACTTACCAGGAATTATATTCTTCTCCTCAAGACCCCTCTCACTTTCCATTTCTATATTTGAAAAATAGGACTAATGTTTGAGACATGACTATTTTCATCCAAGTTTTTAAACTCTTTTGGACATGTCTTTACCTCAGTTTCAAATTCACATTAATTCAGCAAACCTGTACTTGTAGTGTTGCTGCTTGGTTTTCAGTCAGAACGCACCTTAAAGAATTACTGGAAATAACCAAATCATGTGACTTCACCTCTACCAATATAGGCTACGTTTGGTGTCTGTGGTATAGACTGGTTCAAAACAATCATCATCAGTCAAATCTAATGTCATAACATTTTGAAGTTCACATCTACAAATTTTAAGTTTTGTGACATTAAACTTCTTGCTGAAATGCACCTTGTGAGTCGTAGTTAACAACTCCATCGAAGCCCACGATAGGAAGAGTGAATTGGACGTTTACAGAACAAGCAATTGTGTTGTAACATTACCGTGAAGTAGCATTCTAAATACATCCACAGGTCAAATCAGGTTGGGCAGATGATTATTTTCTGAAAAACTTAAAATGCAAAAATGATATCTGGCATCCCAGTTGTTTCACCTCTCATGGTTTTAATTCTATCTGCATAGGAGGCTTCAAGTGTCACACTTGTGTAAGTTGCTTATTGGACCAGGACTGTCACAAAATCATGTTAATATCAGATTGAAGGTGAGCGCAGAGAAAACATTGTCAAACTCTGCACATCATATATTATATCATTCTGCACATTGAAGGTCAAACATCCAAGTGAGGTAACAATAAGCTACAAACATTTTTCACTGTCTCTCCGTCAGAACTAGAGAAGCACTGATATTCCACTGGTATCTTTAAAGACGGTTTCAGTCTCTCTAACAGAGACATCACATTTGTCTCCATCTACCCCAGAACGCATCCATTCCCTGTTGCTTTCCACCGTGTCACAGCGAGTTTGTCTTTCTCCATTAAGGCTCTGATGTTCTGGAAAGAGCTCAGCCCAGACTCTGTGTATATTATTCATTACATTTCATTCTTTCATTCCATGCAGTGTCTGGCCTTGCTCGAGGTGCAAGAGCTTCCTAATAAGCTCAATCTCTTTAATAACTCATACTTAAAAAAGACATTCATCAACTGGCTTTATACGACTCATGTGCCAACCACATAATCGCAGTGCATCAGTGAGGGAGTATAAACACAATGTTAAAAATGTGTCCCAACATCTGATATAACCTCAAACAAATAATGTTGACTTCGGTGAATGAGCGTAATCAACTGACTTTCTCGAATTTCTTCGTAACAAACTTGACAGGATGTTGAACCCAGCTTTTAACTGTCACTGAAGAAGCTGTGAGTAGCTGCACCATTACAGGAACTACCGCAAAACTTATGGGAAATGAAAACGTGAGCGAGGTTTATGAAAACACAAAGAGGCTCAAGAAATGATGGGTTAAAAATGTTCAGTGAGCTATTTGTGGCCTGTCGCTTTACACGCCACATACAGACAGAGCAGCATGGAGACACTTCTTTTTCTATTTCCTCAATTCAACTGCATGGCCCCAAAGGAGGAAGCATATTTCAAAATGCTTGGTCCAGAACACTTGTATGCACCAAAGATGAAGGACGATTCGAGCAGGTTGGTGTGTTTGAACCTCAGCAATTTAAAAATGTCTTTTTGATTCTAGAGTTATTTTAATGAGATTAACTGTAGCAGCAAATGTCAGAAATCTAAGATATAGACTCCAATGTTGAGAAAAGTGATAAAGCAACAGTTTGTTTTGTATGGAGAAGCTTATTATTCAACCTCATGTTTTCATAATAGCTACAGTACATGATGGTTTTACATACAACCTTGTGTGAGTATGACTGACAGCCACTATACTCTCTACTCTATGAGCCAGTTAAGACTTTTAAAAAGCTGCCGTCCTCCGTGATCACTCTCTACTGGCTCTATGTTTGAACACATGTGCGAACGTGACTTGTCTCACATTTCGCAGCACAAAGGTTTTTGAATGATTTATGGCGTGTCGTGTGAGCCACTTTAGAGACGCGTCTGTGAGGAGTAATTTCTCTGATAAGTTGCTGATTTGGTGAATAGAGCCGCAGCTGCAACTCACACACACTATGTGGAACTTGATGTATTTTCTCTGTTGTTTGCAGGCAGAAAGACAAGGAGAGGAAGAGTCGACTAAGCCTTTTTCTCACCAAGTCGGGCTCCCATGAAAATGTCAGTCCCCATAAAAAGACAAATACGACGCCCAGCAAGTGAGGCAACATCCATTAATATCATGTTCTGGCAATGTTGTTTGGGGACAAGTATTATTCATGTTTTGACCTCAGTTTGCAGCTCTCTCCATGACTCATTGCACACTTATAGAAACATGACTTCCTGACACCTCATGAGAATCCTAAACATTCTTGCTGCATCATTAAGGAAGAGCTGACTGCATCTCTGATTTCTTTTTTTCCCCCAGCATCTCACCAGAGGCGGCTTTGCAGTGGAGCGACTCCTTTGAAGAACTGCTGAAGCACTCGGGTCAGATTACTGCCTCCAAATTTTCGGAAACATTGTGTCGAATTGCTGGCCCCCCCAAAAAACAGCTTCACCTGCTGTCAAACCGTTGGCTCCATTTGAATTGTAAACTGCCAAGAAGTGCCTGAGGAAATAAATAGTTAATAGAGAAGAGCAGCGCGAGTTTCACTACAGCTTTTAATGTTTGTTGGCACATAGAGTAGAACAGAAACTGTTCTACTTCCTCATAATCCCAGACGTTGCACTTCAGTACCTCGGTGAAACACTGTGGACCCCTGAATGTGCTCATTTAGGAATAATCAATGTGATGAATAATACTGTTTTTCCATATTAAAGCTGATACTTATGTATATATGAGAATATGAGGATATCCATAGCTCCTTTAACTCCTTAAATATATAATACGTTACAATTCTTGATTGAAAACAAATCTAAAAAAACATCTAAAAATATGAATTAATCAGGATGTGGGCCTGGTTCACGTGAGGTTATGTGAGGTTGATTTGCAGTTGAATTTATGTATTGTACCTTTTAAGCTATTTACTTTTTAACAGCAGTACTTTCTGTCACTAACAGTGTCTCTGTTTTGTTTTTTTCAGATGGAGTAGAAACCTTCGGTCAGTTCCTCAGGACAGAGTTCAGTGAGGAAAACATTGAGTTCTGGTTGGCCTGTGAAGAATACAAGACCATTGATTCTGAGACAAAGCTGCTGTCTAAAGCCAAATGTATTTTTACAGTATTTATTGAATCGGAGGCCCCTAAAGAGGTATGACATGGTATGTTTATTTATCATAAAAATACATGGATGCAATAGACCAACCATAGGCTGTAAAGTGTTAAATAATCCTGTGGTTTAGCCTTTTATTTTGCTCAGTTGTCACTGTGGACTGTTTGAGGTTGCAAATATTTATGACATTGTAAGTGGTGAGCCTGCAGCAGGTTGATCTTTGTGAACTATCATTAGGTGCAAGGAACTCGCCGAGGTCACGTGCATGCTGCACTGCAAAGCCGGATATTTTGGGCTATTTCTGTGCGAGACAGTTATCGTTTCAATGATGCGACCACCATCCGATATGCTTTCAGGGCCTGAAGCAAATCTGACCGTTAGAGAGTTTAGTGTCAGGTCTGAGGTTTTGGCATTCCTCTGCAGAGCTGATGAGAGACTCACCCACACACTTTCAGTATGAGATGAATGTGTATGTAAATGTGGACGTTTTTTTGGAGCATGCTGCAGTGGCATGAAAGCATTTACTAGCACAAGTGATTTAATTAATGTAAATTCATTCATTTAAATGAACATAACCTTCAAGTTTGTTGGTGGGAGATACTGCAGTTTTGTACGCATGAATACTTTGAGTGCTGTATCAGTGATGATCATTTTTATGGCTGAGACACTTCACTACTGTTTTTAGACCATGAAAGGAAAGAAATTAATTGACGAGCTATAACTGTTCATAATCATGATTTCTTAGTCAGAATCTTTAAACAAACAACTCATTCATGATAAACTAAAAGCCAGAAAATGAACATCAGTCTAAGATGAATGTGTATTATCTGTGATCATATCCAGGAGGACGAGAATGTCTCTGTTAATATTGGAGTCACCAAAAGTTCAGGGTCATAAATAAAATACTTTATCTGCGGTTCACATGAACCTTTAAGAAAATCTAACATTGCCAAACGATGCTTGTGTCCTTGTGGGCAAAGATCATCTGAGGTTAGAGAACTAAACTTTACTGTTTGAGTTAGACGTTACGTTTGATGACGAGTGTGTACATGTTGATTTTCTTCATCTTTTTAAATGGATTTGATTCACACCTCGCTGTGGGTGTTGGTGTTTACCTTCCTTGTCAGTGTTTGATATATCCTCACTGAGAAACAAATCTGCTAGGACCTTAATCCATCTGTGTTGTTCTGAGCTTTAAGATTTACCATTCGAGACTCTTTAGCACTCATTTAAGTATAGATTTGATGTGTGTAGTTCATTTGTCTTGTAAGCGACTACGTTTTTTTAATGAAGAAAATTTCCCTCAGGTCAACATTGACTACAACACCAAGATGGCCATCAAGAAGGACATGGCACAGCCCACAAAGAGTTGTTTTGAAGCCGCACAGATGAAAGTCTACAGCCTGATGAAAAAGGACTCCTACCCTAGGTTCCTGCACTCTGACATTTATCTGCGTCTCACCAGGCAGAAAGGCCCCGGGGCCAACATGTTTCGCAGAAGGTCACGCTCCTGTGTATTCAATGAGCGAGGCGAGGCCACGACTGAACCCTTGGCCTGGTAGCTGTAACATCCTGGGCGTAGTCGGTCGCTCTGTGAAACAGATTAAACAGCAGATAATCTGTGAATTGCAGAACAGTTTGTGTAGCACAGAGCTTTGTTATTCACAGGTTTGCTTCTGCAAAGTGCATATCTTTTCTTTTGAGGATCAATACCGTTCTCCTGTGTGCATATAACAAGCTACAGCCAACCGTCAGTTAGCTTAGCTTTTTTTAAATGGTGGAAACGGGAATTTAGCCTGGCTCTGTCCAGTATTAAAACATCACATCTGAAACTCACTACACTCTACACAAGCACATTATATCTTTTCTATTTAAAGGTTCAATGTGTAGAATTTAGATCCACTCCTGATGTCAACGAGTGAAAACATCACTAGCAGTATTTTATATTAAATTTCTGCCAATAGATCGCTTTCACCTAAATCTTACACACTGGACCTTTAATCTGCACCAGATGATTTCTTGTCCAGTAACCTCTTGGACTCTTCACTGGTTTCATTACAACCTCACATACCACAACATACATTGAAGTTTTAGTTTGCTGTTCCTGCCTTTGACCAGTATTTATGCTAAGCTATGCTAACTGACTGATATCCACCATATAGACATGAGAGTGAAATTAAACTTCTCATCTAACTCTTGATAACAAAGCGAATGAGTTTGTTTCCTCAGATGCAGTTTTTCTTTAAGTCCTATACCAGCAGCTTGATAACAGCTGACACCATTGGCCTTTCAGCCATAAGAATACATTTAGAAAGGCTCTGAGGATGCTACGTCACAGACATGTGGTTATTTGAAAATAACGGGAGCCCTCTGGCCAATCAGAAGTATGTGGCCACAGAGAATAGAGTATCTGTCTATCTATCAGTATAAACCCAGATGACTCTGCAGCACTTGCAGCAAAGATCTATTCATTCTCTACCTCAGAGGCACTGCACTGTTGGTGAATTGAACCTGATGATTTTTATAGTTTCTCAAATCTTGACAAAACTTTATCGACATCGGAGGACAGAATCTCTTACTGCTTCTCTCTAGCTCTACTGTACAGGCCTCTGCACGGAGGTGACTCTCCTGAACTCAGACATGTTACACTTCATTGTCTTCCTATCCAGTGACAGCACCTTATACCACATAATTACAGTTGATTTGGTGTTTTTAAATGAACCGTATCTCACTATAAAATATTTATGATTTTAGCCCTCGTACTGTCCAATCCAGTCTCAGCTGCAGTGGAAGCCTGCAACCATGTAGACAAGCTCTGAGACTTTTTAAAGAGATATATAGATCTCTCATTTCTCTTATTAATTAGAATGTATTCACACACATAGAATATACATATATCATATTTGAATACTAATATCTTTTTAATCATGATTTCTGGTTTTCAGTTTACTACCATCTAACATTATTTATGCGTTTGTTGTGATCATATGTGTTGCCTCGCTGTTGTAAATGTACATACTTTAATATGTGAAATAATTCAAATAAACACTTTCTTACAGAAGTCGTTTTAATGAGGCCTTTAGTCTGAATGGCCACTTCTTAATGTGACAAATGGAGTCATAATTTGTGCATATTACACTAATGGGGGAAATTGTGATCGCGTGTGGCTTCCTATTCGAAATCACTGAAAAATTAATAGACCTTATCAACTCTACCCACTCTAGCACAGAATTATTCATATTACTGTGTATGTATGCACAAACTATACTTCTTACCAAGACAAACACGTATTAATCCCAAGCTGTCAGTGATCCCACTGAGTTCACCCCCCGATAGCCTGAATATGTATTCAGAGAAAAACCATATCCCAGTACATACAAGCAGGGCTGGTTTAGCTTATTAACACAGATGTCAGGGTTTCCAGTAGCCTTCAGAGGGATAAAGTCCACCTCAGCCCAAGTTATTTAACGAAAACCTGTGTGGAATACCTCACAGTCTCCATTAATTATGCATCCATGTAGACGACAGTGGCATGAATATACCGCAGTTCCCGCTGTCTTCTGACACAAATAATCAGAAAAGGAGGGGCAGACCCTAATGATGTGTTAACAGTGGGAGAAGCTCAGCTGGCCTCCCAAATTCATCACAGTTTAAGACTAGTTGCCTACTAAGAATTTGCTGCCAGGTTTCTTTCCCCATTGCTATTTAAATTTGTATCTCACTCTGCGCTAAAAGCCTCTGAAATCACAAGTTAAAGCTGTATTTTGTGGGAGCTATGAAGGAAAACAAAAGAAAAAGACAGCAGTTTGTCTGAAGTTATGAGGCTTGTTAAACCAAACGAATACGAGTCAAATAGAAGTTTAAAGCAAAGAGATCTGATGTAAGGTGTCTACTAGCTGCACATTATTTCAAACAATTGGGTTTGTATTTTACAGATTCCTCAGTCCAAGGCAAATCAATTGAAGTCTGCAAACTTCTACACCACAGGTTCCCGATTTTAGAACCTCTATGTCTGATCCAAGCTTTTAATTGACTCCACGTAAGACAAATTCAGTAATAGATCTTCTGACTCCCAGGCTCATATATTGAGCTGTGAATTCTTCTCACAAAACTCTTTGCACTAGATGCTGTTGCCCTGCAATGATATCGACAGACCTAGATAAATTGCAGTGCAACCGCAAACAGGAGGCTGTGTTCAAACTTAAGAGTTTGTGCCTAAGTTTGTGAGGTGTCTGAAGTAAATTTAGAGACACACCTGTATACAGGGGAAAGATACAGTTTAATGGCTTATGAACATTTTCCCACAACTCTGAAGGTGTCTTTGTTACCATCAATAAATCAGTGTCATGTTACTGGAGGCTATAAATAACTCCTGAAGCCAGTTTCTTCAGGCTGAAGGTAATAAAACCATGTCTGTAATGAAAGCATCAGACCTGTATGGACTCTGCATGTTCTTTTAAAAGCAGTTTGTAAAAAGAGAATATATAATGAAACAGCTTCTCACTGAGTTTTTTTTGGAGACTGAGTGGAGGTTTTCTATCATTGTTTTTTGGGGGTTTACTCAGGGCCAAACAAGACAGTGGTGTGCTGTCAGGACTCGCAAGGCAAGTAGTGTTTGACCAATTAAACCTAAAAATAGACTTCAGTTGGAACAAGACCAAAGTGGAGACATCCTTAGTGCAGTGTTCTGTCCCATAAAGGGTTTCAGATGCTGCCTGTTGAGATTTATCTTGTAATTTGCTCTCTTGTGGTCACATCGTCTCTGTTAGCTACATTGCCTTTACAATATTAACTAGGCCTATAACATAATGTTGCATATCTGTTTTCATTAGTGACCAGCTAACTAAGATGATGAATGTTGCTGCTACTAGAAGGCTTACTGTCAACATTTCCATGGAGTGTGCAATGCTAATGGTTGTGGCTGGAATTAAATTTGTTTGCCCTCCTCTATTCAGTTGTTATTCTCTTGCGCGTTTAATGGCCACTTTCACTGATCTCCAAAACCTCTTGCTGACAACAATAAGGGGAAGCTAGGTGTTGTTGTTGAAGATGGCTAAAAATTTAGCCAACAATCTATTTGTTTTGATCGTGGATGAAGAGCTCTAGAGCGACATCTAGCGGTGGTAAATGCATTTATGTTCAATGTTAGATGCTTATCTGGTTCATTTTGTCCATCTTCTGAAAATGTACGGATATAGACGAATCAAATCAGGGGTATGAAGAAATTTCAACAATGGTGGAACTTTTTAAGGAGAGCGTTTGAAAATACCTTACTTTGGAAGAGCATAACAGCCACTTTTGCCTCTACATTATCACAACCTCCTCCACTGACTTTTTGTTATTGTTGGAAATTCTTGATTCTGCATTGTCCTCTAGTGGATACATTGCTCAACAACCATGCCAATTTAAAGGACGCATGGAAGTATGTGGGCAGTCATGGTTATATTCTTTAAAAGTGATGTTTCTCTTTTCGCAAGTCTAAGGCAGCATAAATGAGCCTTAGAAGGCAGCGGTAGTTAATAAACAAGTTAAATACACTGCAATCTGTCATCTCACTTTGTTATGCATCATCTTACCCACCTTAGTAAAACATGTGTGACATGTCTTTCTTCCTGTTAATCAAGGTGTATGGAAGTTTGAGAATGTGTGAGGCTCACAAACAAAGCTGTGAACAGGCCCATCCAATGTACCGTGTGTGCAGTTTAGGCTATTTGTCTGTACATAAAATGCTACAATTCCTCAAGACACAAGCCAGACTGGCATCTGGTGGTTGAAGTGACGGAGTGTTTGCCCCATCAGGTCATCTTACTTCAGCCCTGAATCAGAACACAAATCTCCCCCATGCCTCCTACCAATGGTCCAGACCAGCAATATCTTATAACAATACAAAGCAGGAAAACACAGGATCATGCACTGTCACTGGAGCGTGTCATTGTCAGTTAATGGTAAATAGTTTGAAGATTACCACAGCAATGATTCTTAGATATTTTCCTCTATGTCTTGCACATTACGTTTACTGTCAGTTCAAATGAATAATCCTTGAAGCTCTTCAGCCACTAATGTTATATTATATGGTATACACCATGTTAAGTATAGGAAGGAAGGAAAAGGTGACTATGTGCAGCAAGCTGGAGGAGAGAGACTTTCTGAGCAGGAAAGACAGGCAGCAGAATCATGAGACAGTGAATTTTGGAACCATGGAAAGGTTTGTTCTCGTCCCATCAATATTTGTCTCATTGCTGAATCACCTGCTGAAAGAGTGAGTGGATAAAACAGCAGGGTCATTTAAGGATCTGGAAGAGATGAGACACTCTCTAATCAAATCAAATGCATGCTTACTGAATCATACTCAGGGACTCGCAATCTAATTTAGGAAGGTTTTCAGTTACATCTTCACTCAGCAACCTCCCACCTGCAGCCCAGGACTTGTAGGGTCAAAACCCCCGTTCATTCTCAAATGAATAAACAAGCATCAAAGAGACACACACATATTCAGTGCGGTCACCAGTTACAGAGAAAGGTGGACACATGAGGGGATAGGATTCTGGGAACCTGTGTTGAGGCCTGGAGGACTGGAGTGCCACCCTGTGTTTGATGGGAAATGTGCAACTTGGTATGAAGTCACAGTAAATTGCTGTATCGTTCAAGAGATATCCTGGATGCATGGAGATGAATCACTGCCCCTTAAAAAAATATTTCCTGGGTTTTATGGAGTCACTTTTGTCCTTGGATGGTCACAAATGCTCACACTAGATTTAAGGAGCATGAAAGACTCAATACAAACAAGACCAAACGTTGTAGATGCGCTGCAGTGACTGCTCAAAGACAACGCTAAGTCCTCATGTCGTTTCTTGTGGTGCCTTTTTTGAAAAACAAATTCCTCAGCTTGGTGCATTCACACACATGCAAATAGAGGCAGCCTGGGTGTTTTCCATCACATGCTCTAATTTACATTCTTGGTTTGTGTTTGTCCAGCAGTGGTCAGGAAGGACAGGCCAGGTTTATATGCACTGGACATGATTTTAGTGAGTCATTATGAATGACTGTGTGTCATGACCTGTGTACATCCGACAGAGCAGAGGATAGCCCTCCACATGAAGCTCATCATTACATGATAAGCATAATGTGATTCTCTGTCGCTGCGCAGTCGTGCAAATACCTCTCCTGTGTTCACATGTTCTAAATCACAGGAATATGTCATGTTAGAATAAAAGGTCACGTTAACATGAGGCAAAATGTACTGTGGAAAGGTAAAGTATACCACACATTCAGCCTATATGTCGTTTCTAAATCAGTCAAGCAAATGCACATTGGTAGAAATTGAAAAGTACACAGTGGACTTTATGTAAATGCTGCTGCCTACTCAGCTGATGCAGTGAGTGTGTGTGATGAAAATTCATTGACATGTTTTACTGTCAACTGTTTTTCACATCTCCTGATCTTTATCACACCTGGTCAAATCATTCATTTATAATGTACAACATCTTAACGTCTACTGGAGGGATTGGTCTGGAAATGTGCGGAAAATGCTGGCGAAGGGTGATGCCTGCAGGAGACAGAACTTATTATGTGAATTCTGCAGTGCATATCATATGTCTTTGTTTGTATCAACACCAGCATCTGCCCTGATCGAAGCTTGTTGTCTTTCTAACTTGACATCTTCGTCTGTGTTTTCTACGTGCATGACACTACTTTTTTCATCCTGAGATTTTTGTATTCTGTCAGTTATTTGTTCTTTCTTCAGTTTTACGTCCATCGTGCCCACTCACTGTGAATTGACCGGAGATTTTCCTGCTGCATTCACACAGTTTAACAGGGGGCTGGAAAAGGTTCTGGAAAATGTTTACAGTTCAGTGCACAGACAGTTTTGTTTTTTAAAATGCTGCAACAATTATTAAATTCTTTTGGTACAGACATTTTCTCCTTAATAAGATAAATTGTCACAACATCTGTGATGCTTTATCTTTTCTTATAGCATTATCATGTTACTGTTCCCTCCGTTGATGACCAAACTATAATTAAAGTAATGGTATTCAATCAGCCTCAGCTGTCCTTTATGACTAGTGCCAATTAGCAAATGTGGCGATAACACGATAACATGCTAAATTAATATGGTGGACGTGGATTGCATTTCACTGCTAAACATCAGCATGTTTGTGGTGTCATTGTGAATGTGAATGTTCATATTCATCATTAGCATTAACGATGAGGATGAAATCTGTAATGTACATACAGTACCTACCTGTGGCCGACTTTACAACAATCCATTTAAAAAAAGAAGTATAAGGACACAATTAAAGATGAAATAAAATAATAGGATGAGTTTACAGAAAACAAAACAGAGCATAAGTGTATCTGTGAGTATTACTGGAGTGAGAGTGATTAATTACCCACATACACACATGGATGGGAATAAAATAGAGTCACTTCACCTCGATTCTGTCGCACCAGAGCTCTGCTAAATTATGGATGAGAAATTTCTGTCCAAATCTCTACTTTTCTGTTTCAAGTGTCAGCGGTCAACTAATTTATGAAGCATATTAACAAATCAAGTGTGCATGTTCTCCTGAGTCCTTGTGGATTTTTCTCTGGGTACACCGACATCCTCCCACAGTCCAGAGACATGCAGATTGGGGTTAGGTTAGACTCTAAATTGACCATAGGTGTGAATTGTTGTTTCTGTGCAATGGCCATGTGATGAGAGCTGACCTGTCCAGGATTGGCCTTAACCCTCAAAGGATAAAGTGGTAGCCTATATATAATGGATGCATGGATGGATATTAACAAATCAGTTCCAATAAGGAACACTGCAGCCATGCAAATAGCAGGAGAACAAGCCTTTTCCTTGATAGTGAATTTGTTTGTAGCTATTTGTTTATGGTCAGGATATTTCCTGAATATGACACGTCGTTCTCTACCACAGAAGCACAATCTGTTACCAACGTCCTCACTATAATTTATGTCCCTCACTGCTGGGTTGAATAATAATAAAGACATGAAGAAATAATGTGGAGTTTTAGGAATATCAGTGGTTTGAATATATCTGGATTCGATTCATCAATTTATTCCTCAGGTTAATCTTCCACCCTTGTGTTGTCACATCCACGTTAGCCACGATCAGTGTTGGAGATGAGGTCAGCTTTAATCAGCTCTCTGGTCCTCAGAGTGTGACAGACATGGAAGGGTGCCCCGTCTTCCCCAACAACAACAACACTTTGCATACAGATTTCCATATATTCCATCCATGTAGGGTGTGTGTATGTGTGTGGGGGGGTCATTTAGATTTGTACAGTCACTTGACTCCCTCATTTCCAAACAATCACAACCCCATCTTCAGTCTAGCAGGATCTTATCTCTGTCTCCCTTCGTAGAGGACGAGGAGATGGCGATAAAGTGAGTTACTGCATATTTGATTATTGGGCCTTTACCATTTTCAGACAGCAGCCATGTGGAAAATACCAAGGAGTTTTTCACTCACTGTAAGTCACACTTTTGCATGGTGCCTTTATTTCTGAACTGGGGATGTTCAGTTCATTAAATTGAATGTTTACAGGTCATCTTGAAACCTATCACATACTTTGAAATGATTAATGAATGGGCCTGCCAGTCTGGTTTGGAGGTGCGCCGTGTGCTGAGTTCACAGATAACTGAGCTAGTGATTGATCTTGATGCTCTTTTCAAGGGTAGATTGTGCTGCTTTCCCAAGGATCCGCTGGAGGATGTTGAGACCTGGAGTGAGTCAGTGGACAAAGTCCTCAGTTGTAAAGGTGAGAGTCTCCTCTGACTACACACACACACACACACACACATTTGTTTTTATGTGCACTTTTTACCTGCATCATTTGCGATTCTCAGCCGGACAGATAGCTTTCCGGGAGTTCCTGAAGTCGCAGTACAGTGAGGAGAACATACTGTTTTGGCTCGCCTGTGAGGAGTACAAGAAAATCAAGACAGTCCCAGAGATGATCTCATCTGCAAACAGGATCTACTCAGAGTTTGTCCAAACAGAAGCTCCCCGACAGGTAAATCCCTGCAAGGTTAAAAAAAAAAAAAACAGAATTTCAGGAGTTCAAATTGGTGCTGTGCACCAAGATGGTCATTGTTTGTAATTTAAATTCAATGAGCCTATTGTGATATAGTAGCTGCAATAAAGCTGTGTGTCTGTGCCTTTTGTGGTGGTAAAAGTGCAGAGATTTGATTTAAAGGCACTCAAGTTGTTACCCCAAAGAACATTATGAAGATAAAAAGAGTTGCTGTAATAGGCTGCTTGGCAAAATTGTTTGTTTCCAGATCAACATAGATTGCAGTACCAGAGAAAACATAACGAAGAACATCTCCAAGCCGACCCTGACTTCGTTCGACACGGCGCAGAAGCTCATCTACAGCCTGATGGCCAGGGATTGCTACCCCCGGTTCCTAAAATCTGATATTTATCAAGGACTCCTGAGGAGAACTGATTCAAGGTGACTCTTTTAACAAAAAAATGACAGCCTGACAGTGAAATCATCTCCGACTCTGATCTGCTGTGGCCCTATTTCATTTCAGTGTGGATAACAGGTTTATGCCATACAATCCAGACCCTAATGTGTAGCAGAGATATCTTTCCCCTCACCTGTGTGATTCAGTAGACAGTTAAAGCTCAAGACAATCTGAGGCTTGTATTATACTTTATCTCTTTAATTATGTTATGGTTAAAAAAATCTTTAAAGATATTGTGCACATAATTCTTCTCTGATTATCTGTTTTCTCTCTGTGAAGTTAGAAAGGAAAAATAACTCCCTTATTGTAAAGTATTAACGCTTTATCTAATTGATTATGCTAATCTACATTATCATATTCTTTGGTTGAGTGTATTGTAGAAATTCTTCCTCAGAGTTTTGTTCTATTAAATGGTTTGTTGTCCGTTTCAATTGCAGTTTTTTTAAATATTTAAACATTACTAAATATATTCAGTCGAATGACATTTGGGTGCAGTCCTTTTGAATATAATGCAAATCACCCTTGTTGTTTTCAAAGAAGAGTCGTCTGTACTGTAATATGGTCATTGGCCACATAAACAGCAGATGGCAACAGAGTCCTTCAGTCATTCAGTAAACAAAAAGACATACCTATGCAAGAGGTACAGTGAGGAACGTCCCTTCTGAAGCAACTTCCACTTTGTGCATTGTATGTCTGCAACCAGCTAAAGCACAACAACAGCAGCTTTAGAAATCAAACCGGCCTCGGGTTAAATCTGTTTTACCTGGTGGACACGAGCTGGGAGGACCAGGTTTGTGCTTCTGGTAGCATCCCAGTGTGCTCTCATGTTAGCGGGCGAGATTGTTCATCATGAAAAAGTATCTGAGAGGATTTAAGTCACAAGTTTGGAGCCTCTCCCACTAAGCTCATTGGGCTTTATGTAAATCTCCTTTCAAAATAAGATTAGTGTAGGTTATGTTGTACAGAATTTTAGGCAGCATCTTGAGATGAACATTGATATTTTATAATTTTCTAGTTAGAACATGTTAAATGCAAAAAGCATGCAAACACAATAAAAAGCACAGGGTTTTCAAATGGCAATTAGACTTAATGTTCAGCTACAGAAAGGGATTGAACTGACACAACTTAGGGCATTCAATTATTAAAACATTGCTCCTATTTGCACAAACCTAACATATTTATTGTGTCATGTCTTCTTTTGTTCGTTTGGAAAGTGGAAGTAGGCCCCGCGTGGTTTCTCCTTGTGACTCTTGGCGTTAGACACACATTTTATTCTGTAGCTGGTGTAAAATGTTTGGGGGATTTATTTTAAGAGGTGTATCTCATGTTTGGCTGCTCTGTGTTGTGCAGACAGCTCACCGCAACTTCCTCTAACAGAGACAACTCTGGTTTCGCCCGACTCTTTGTGGGAGGAGGGTTACATTTGTTGAGTACTGTAAAAAAGAAAATACAAGCGCTTGACAGTCCTTGTTTAATCTGCATTGGTAGTAAAGCAAGTTCAAGATGTTGCATGCAGGAAGTGAGGAACTTATAAAAATGACTGAAACAGTGCAAAGTTATACTTGTCAGTGTGATAACGGCTAATGGAGGAAACTCACAGATGGGTGTTGCAACCGATAAAGAGAACGTCTGCGATAACGTTTCTGTCACCACAGCAACAGCTGCATTTTGTCACGAAACATTTCCTGTCAAGCAAAACATTAGCATAGACAGGGGAAGAGTGCAGGTTCAAAAGCAACTCTTTTGCTTTTGTTATACACTTTGCTTCAAATGTATATGTCTGGATTTTTCAGTGTTGCATGTTGTTAAACTAAACACATATAAACAAAGCTAGTTTGGTTTTTCTATTGTAGCCCATACATGTTTTCATCTAAAAGAGATTTAAACTCCCTTGAGATGCTGTAGGTATTCACAGTGACCATCTTGCATGTATCTCAGGGTGCAAAACAACACGGGGTGGCTGTGGCTCAGGTCATCCACCAACCAGAATGTCCCTGGTTTGATCTGCGGCTCCTCCAGTCTGCTTTCCAAACCAAACCTTGGGAAAGATACCGAAGGCCAAATTGTTTTAGAATGATAGAAAAAGCGTTGCATATAGAAGTGTTGTATGAATGTTTCAGGTTGATAAATATCTAAATACAGTCTGTTTACCATCTACTTAAAAAACAAAATCAGACTAAGGGATGACACTTCAGTAAAGATTGCAAAATAAATAGTAAACATTTTAAGAGAGAAACAGCAAACTACTCTGTTGAAATAACTTGTCTGAGAAAAGTTAACAGACTTTTCAGACTTAATGTTCACAGGTTGGTTTTTAGCGACATAGCTGCATGGCGCTAAAGATGATACTGACTTCCCATTGGTCCATCTGTCCAGCACTTCCAGAATAAAATATCTCAAAATTTTTTGAATGGTTTGTTGTTACATTTCATGATCCCCAGAGGACCATTCCCACCTATGTGGACCCCCAACCTTTCCTTTTAGTGCCATCAGCAGGTTGACATTTTTGTCTTTTAGTGAAATACAGTTGTCAGTCCACTGTAGATGTGTGGAAAGAATTTATGAACCGTTTCTAAGGCAGAAATAAAAACTAATCTTTAAGATTTTGATGAGCTGATTTTAAAAAAAGCTGTTTTACCATCTGTTTTGCTTCTTTTTCTAGGTTTGAGGATGTTTTTAAAAACACCAGATTTTGCTAAATGAATTTTTTTTATACACGAAATTAACAGACATAAAAAAAATATGTAATTTCCTTCTAAAAACCTGGAAAGTTCAGACTATTGCTTTATCACTGTGAGGGGCAATAAGACTGCGAGGCATAAAACAGAGGAACTAAAGCTGTCACATTTATGAACTTAATAGAGCGAGCAGAATGAAAACTGAAAGTTAGGACTGTTTAATTTCCTCTTCTAAAAACTCCAGTCCAGGCTATGGGTGAAATTTGTTGTTTTGTCAAAACATCCTGTCATATGAAACATATGAAAGGGGAAATTAATCAAACAATCATACGTCTATATTTCATCTGTGACAGAGAGCTGACATTAAATCCTTTGCGTCTCACTCTGACCTAAATGGAAATACTGGGGTAACAGTGGTATAAGATGCACAACATGGAACACCAGTGTCTCTTTTGTTCTGGTGGGTGAGGTTTGTTGAATGTACTTCCTGTCTGCCTCCACTATCTGACCTAATAATCATAGGAAGTTGTGACACTGAAACCAAGACATCATTGCATTCATCTAACAAGCCATTAAAAGAAAGAGAAGGTCCAACTGACCCAAGGAAATATTGAACTTTGCTGTGGAGCGGCAACACACAGACATGTGAGTGATGTCAGTCTTCTTGTCTGACTCAAAAAACCCTTTGAGTGTCTTGAGCTCAGGGAGGATGTGTTTTAGTATCTGCATTAAGGAGGTCATGTCAGCAGGATTACTCAAAAATGACAGAAGTGATTTCCATGAAATTTTGTGGAGGGCTGGGGGACATGGAGCGGATCTGCATTGATGGGCACTTTCTTCAACATGGTGAGACAGGGTGTTAGCCTTGGTGGAGGTAAATGCATTCTCCGAGGGCCCTTCAAGTTAACTCCACCAAGGAGGTTATGTTTTCTTTTTGTTTGTTTGTTAACAGGATTTTGCATAAACAACTCAACCCATTGCAATGACATGCTTTGGAGGGGTGGGGCATGGAAGAGCTGGATCAGCAGGCAGATCCAGGGTTTTGTGAGATAGAGTTAAAATAGCCCCAGCATCTAATTCACAAAATCTGAAACATTGGTTCCTGACATCTGCTCTCAAGACAAAGTTGGACAGAGTCTAAAACATTTGCTTATCTGTTGTTGAATTTTCCACTGCCCATTTGCATCTTGAAACCAAACATGTAATGATGCAGGTATCAGCACTGACACAAAGCAGCGACTGCCGTTAGTGTGTATGTTTGCGTCATACCCAGCTTCCTCTTTTTCTGTGGTTAGTTCAGAGCGATGTTGTGACGATACTCGCTAAACTCCCATCGCACGTCTGCTGAACATATAAAACGTCCACGCTGAGCAGGTTCCTCAAACACTGTTCTTCGGAGTAACTTAGCGAACAGTCACACGTGCAAATCATTGTTGCCATGCCAAGTGTAGTCACATCACCACCACGGGAGCTGCAGCACCTCAACATGGACATGGAGGATAAGAAGAGGAGGAAAGTTAGGTA